TGCTGTATTCATCAATTATTCTGAGAAAACTAACCAAAAAACAACATCCCCGCCTCTCATTTCAAGTCCCTATATACTAATGATACCAAAATTCACAGCTATTCCTTAGACTAGTATGCAGATGAATTTCAGAGTCTCTGTGTCCCTTAAAATCACAGAAAACACAAGTAGCAAGGATATTCATGTTACTCTCAAAATACCAATGAATTCAAAGGCAAGAATCTTCATTTCATGATAAAAGACTCATTGAGATAGTAATGAGGACACAATGTAAATATAAGACATTCTGAAAATAAGTGGGACGAATTCTATATGTGATTTCAGACAAAACGGGCATGATCTCTCTAGATATAAAGCACTCTGGTTTATACATACTAATAAAATAAACTATCTGAAGTTTCTTCTGAAGCCCAGGCAGTGAGGAGAGAAAGTAAGGGAGAAGACAGAAGAAACAGCTTGGACAAACCCTGATACTCAAGGTAATGAGTTTAGATTTTATCCAGGAGACAAAACAGAACCTTCCCTCTTCCCTGCTAGTCAACACATGCGCGTGTACACACACCACCCCCCACACACACACTCTGCAGCCCTAACCTTTTATACTCCAGTAGTATCCTCAGAATTGTTTCTAATATCCCCATTCTGGATTAATTGTCCATCCTGTGCTTTCCTCTGTCACAGAACCTATCACATTGGACTAGAATTTTCTATGTGCCTTATAATCTATCCTAGTGCATACTAATTTCTTCTTTACTTCTATTACTCTAAGGTCTTTTTTTGTGGGCAGAAATCATTTATATATTCACAGTAACTATCAAAATGTCTAACCATAGAAGGTATTCAGTAAGTGTTTGAATGAATAAAAATGAATGAATAACAAGTTAAATGCCACATTCTTATTTCTGCCACTGGATTATTCTTGGGAGATCCTGTCTCATTCCAAAGCTCTATTTTATTTTATATTTTGATCAGCTTACCTCAACTTTCTAATAGAATAAGGCTTACAAATGTCTACGTATCTTTAAAGGTATTTTTTTTTTAAGAATGATACCAACTCTTTTTCCTATACTATCAGATTACTTTCATGTGGCATTGATTTTCTAATTCTTGTTGGTTTCTATACATCTCCTACTCTCTTCTACTTGATTCCATCACTTCTTCCACCTCTCACCATAATTAGCATGACCCTAATTCTAAGAACCTATAGCAATGTTTCTTAATCCATTTTTCAGGTTCACAGAGCTATCAATTCTATATCCCCAAAAAAGTCCATCTAGTCAAAATCCAGTATGTTATGATTCCATTTTATAAAGACCAGAGATAGGCAGAATTAATCTAATATGTATTGGGTCACATAGCAGTATCCTATGAGGGGAGATGGTGATAGGATACATCTAATACCCCACCACAGCACCCCGCATTTCTAAAAACAGACATCTGGGGTTAGGAGAAGAGTCAGTTAAGTATATGGTAATAGAACTGTGGAATCACTATGCCACACACCTGAAACTAATACTGTGTGTCAACTGTATTTCAGTAATAAAAATGTATATATGTATACATATATATAATATGTAATATACTAATCCACATATTATGTTGGAATCAGAAATCAGTGAAGATAGTTCAGATGATTTAAAATATAATGTTGGAGAAACTGGGTAGCCAAATAAATGAAGATTTATCTCGACTGGAAAAAAAAAAAAAGAAACGGATACGGGAGCACAGAGTATGGAGTCTTCCTAAAACCTCTTCCTCTTTAATCTCAAATCTGTAACCAAAGCGGAGACCCAACTGTCATTGGCGGTGCCCATCCTACATTTCCCTGACTGGTTCTTCACCCTGCCTCGGTCTGACGCTCCAGACTGAGCATACCCCCAAAATGGAACCTGTCTGTTCTCAGAGGTCATCTGTTTATCCAAAATGTGAGGGCCAAAGTCACTCAAAACCTTATGGGAAGAAAGAACAGAGTAACTGTAATAGAATACTCATTTATTAACAAGTATTTGTTGACTATCTAATATTCCCACACAATTTGGTAGGCTCCAGGGAGCTTATATTCACCTGAACAAGAAAAATTTGTCACATTTTCTATTTTTCCAAAGAGCAGAACCAATAGGTAGACTCAGTGTAACTCTTTGCTACTTAGGAAGAAATAACAGATATTTTTTTCTTTTTTGTTTCTCTCAACTCACTAACATATGTTCAAATCAACATGTATTATTTTCACAGCAATAAAAAACACTTAGAACTTCTATTAAAAGAGGCCACTTTCAGAGTAGAAACAAAGATGGGCATTTATGAAGATGGTGGAGGGTGGTACAGGATCAGCTATAAAGTTGCTATTGGTATTTGCCTCAGCTCTAGCTCTCTTCCTCTCTTGCTCCTCTCTTCCTGTCTACATCAGCTTCCCTCCATTCCAAATGTCTTCAGTGGGAGATGATTCTCTATACATTCATCTTTTATTGCATAATTATAAGGCATTACATTGTAGATATGGACATTAAATAAACAAACAAATACAAACAAGCCAAGCAGTGGTCCACAAACCATACTTGGCTTCTTAAAACTTGTATTTTTTTCCTTCTTCTTTGTGTGGCTTCTCAGTTAAAAACGCAACTAATAGGAATCATGTTTAGTTACCTATATCCAATTAGCGTTACTGGTTAGGGTTTGTATTTAGTGAGATTTACTTCAAGGATTTCATTCCCACATGAGGCAGTTAGTTTACTCATCTCCCTATTAGACACTCTATCCAGGCCAGCCATGTTCCTAAGTATCAGAGTATGAATCACTGCAAACATATTATTATAATGAGAAAAGCAACGGAAAGTACATTTTCTTATTGAACATCTTCATACACAGTCAAATGATTCTTAGTTAAATCATGTAAATCTTTTGGAAGACTTCCATAAGATTACTTGTAAATGTGTTAAGAATATTAGAAATGTTATTTTGAAATCTGGACAAAAATAATGGTACTCATTCCACAAACCTCGTAATCTGTTTTGCTTTCTAATGTGAATAAAAATGTTGTGTGTTCTCTTTCTTATTAGTGTCCAGCCCAATCCAATAAGAGCAATCAGTATATAAATCTGTATTTTTTTCACAAGCATTTTAGATGGTTCTTATGGTCACAGCAGAGTTGGAAGCACTGTGTTAATATCTGTTCACAGCTCTGGTTCATATAATTATGCTCATGAGCTATACTTACCATTAAAGAAATAGTACTCAGTACTAGATTCCTTCCCAGCAAGCCAGCTACAAGCATGAAACGCAATACCCAATCCATAATCTTGGCCTCATGGGCATCATGCTCTTCCCTGAACTAACCAGCCCAGGCCCTGTTTAGAGTATTTTTCACACACTGTCCATGTCAGGTCTTAGAGAATACGGTCAGAGGAATCCATAAAGTTAAAAAATAAAGAACCATAAATGTTAAGAACTTAAATTGTTTCCTAGGCTGTCACTCTTGCCATATTCTTTGATAATTCATCCAGTCCCTAGACATTAGCATTCCCAATCTCAAAGGAAACATGCTCTCCTCCTATAAGCAACCGGCTGCTTTCAAAGAGCAGCTCCAATATTAGGAGGCTGAAGTTAAAAATTCTGATGCCATAGGGGCGCCTGGGTGGCTCAGTTGGTTAAGCGACTGCCTTCGGCTCAGGTCATGATCCTGGAGTCCCTGGATCAAGTCCCGCGTCGGGCTCCCTGCTCAGCAGGGAGTCTGCTTCTCCCTCTGACCCTCCCCCTTCTCATGCTCTCATTCTCTCTCTCAAATAAATAAATAAAATCTTTAAAAAAAAAAAAATTCTGATGCCACAAAGATGTATTTTACATCGTTTCAAACTACATATATTTAATTCACACCTGTGGTATGTTGAATCATAATATTTTTATTTTTTTTTTTTGCAGGAAGGAGGTGATTTCTCAAACTATGAACATTTCAGTACATTTAATAACACATATGATAGAAGTGGAACTAAATTTCACAGCTAGTCTACTTATATCTAGACTATAAATTCTTATGTTTGCCAAGAGGTTGAACTATAAACATGTTGGCAATGAGCTGGATTTAAACTTGCTTTCATCAAATGTATTCTCTTATCTAAAAATAGCTCATCATGCAAAGATAAGGAAAACCAGAGAGCACAGGTAACAAATCATTAAGTGTAAGTTATTTATCTCGTAAAATATATGTGTGTGCATAACTCAGAAGTAACTAAGTTAAATTACACTTAGCTTTATTCAACACTACTACAAAAATCTCACTTCTACCACAGCATGTATCATTTGTTTTTATGAGGTCAGTTTTTATTCATTTAAATGGAGTTTTATTTTAATTAATGTTCAAAGTCCTCACAGATACCGATATTTGATAATGCTACTTAATGAAACTTTTGAAATAGCAGAATGAGGGTTTTTGGGTTTTCTTCTACCAAAAAGGTTTTTTTATTCAAATTCAACTAGCCAACATATAGTACATAATTAGTTTCAGATGTAGAGTTCAGTAATTCATCAGTTGCATATAACACCCAGCACTCATCACATCACATGCCTTCCTTAATGCCCATCACCCAGTTACCCGATACCCCCCCATCTCCCTTCATTAACCCTCAGTTTATTTCCTAGAGTTAAAAGTCGCTCATGGTTTGTCTCCCTCTCTGATTTCTTCCCATGCAGTTTTCCCTCCCTTCCCTATGACCTTCTGCACTATTTCTTATATTCCACATATGAGTGCAAACTATATGATAGTTCTTTCTCTGATTGACTAGAATGACAGGTTTTTAAATAAGAGTATGATTGGCCTAGTTCTTCTAGGAGATACACTCAAAACTAAGAAATAATACAACATAACATGGTTGAGCAACTCTCTCACTGATGTGGTTTTCTGTTAATTTTGAAGTAACATTAATAGTCATCATTCATCAAGGAGAGAATAAAACAACCTGAAGAGCAGAATTAGTGGTGTTTTGGACAGGGACTAAAAGAAAGCATACCTTTCCCTCTCTCCTTCCATGGTATCATATAAGCGGTTGGCACCTCCATCAGCACAGGCTCTTAAAAGAGCTTCAAATAGAAAAAAACAAAGAACATTTCAATATAAATAGCTTAGAGCAGTACCTCACAAATGATAAACAAATGATTAAAAAGCAGGCACTCACAGACACACACACACACAGTCACACCTTCCTCTTTGGATCTTTTCACCACTGCAAGCGATCTGCGTACCACACACTCAAGACAGAATCCCCTAAGACAGTGTATTTCCTTTTTGTAGCCTTTTCAATTCCTCTTATTAAGTAAAAGGGTAAAAGTGTAGAGGGTGTCTTCAATTGCTCTTGAAGCTTGTTTTTCCTTCTTTACAAGAGATAGGCCTCACGCTCAGTAAGGGACACCAGGACATCGGTATCACTTTATGGCCTTACTCTATTAACTTCTATGGATGTTTTCTACTTATGGCAGGTATGGGTTTCCATATTCTGTTTTGATATAAAAAGTTTCTTTTAAAAATAAAAATCATAAACATAACATTGTAAGTTTATTTTACAATATTAATAATCTAGATAATGTGTGAACACTGTAAAAAAAATTGTGAGGTGGCACAAAATTAAAATTTGGGAAATACTAAGATATTTGAGTAAGACTGGCTGTCTCTCCAACTGAGGCTTTTAAGTCTTGCTTTCACTGTAAGATTTGATGCTGCTGCTGAACTGTTCCTTGAAATTCTCTTAGTCCATGGACTATTATTTTATTGTTGTTGTTACTTCTCTAATTTCCAATTTTCCTAGAAATGTTCAATATCTTAGCATCAGTTCTTTCTTTTTTCAATACCCTTTACTTAAAGTTTTCAGATCAAACTTTACTTTTTTATCCTGGGTAAGGATAGTGAATGCGATTATGTCTGAGATTCCGATTCCTCATCCCAAACAAACAGAAGCCTGTCTCCTGTTCCCATGTAGCTGTTAAAACCAAAGTCACTAGAGCCACAAAATCAGCAAAGACCTTGGGACCAGCAGCTTTGGAAGAAACACACTACTCTCTTGAGCTACTTCTTCGATTCATGGCACTTAAGAAATCCCTTTCCCTTTCTGCAAATTTACACATTTAAAAGTGTTTATAATACTTCCTCCAAATGTCTAAGTGTTAAAGGCAGTAGGATATGGTAGAAGATATCAAATTAGCCATATTGGCAAAAATAAAAGTCCTAATGTGTTTTCTACTAATCCATAATATGAGACTATTTTCTGTGTTTCATGTTTTATCAGAAATAAAACAGGCCAAGCGGCAAAAATATATTCCCTTTTTGTTTCAGCTTCCTCATCTGTAGGTGGGGATAATATGTCTTAGAGTTATTAAGTAATTAATGATTTAATAATTGTATATGTTGTTCATCAGAATACCAGAACACAGTAAGCATTCAATCAACATTGGTCCTCTTCCTCCATTTTTGTTAGAATGATTATGAAGTCTAAAAAGCTTATGTTCCTGGACAAGGAAAGCCTAAGCTACTTAAATAGTGCATGACAAAAATAATAATTTTTACAGGGATATTTAAGAGGGACATCTCATTTTACCTATCACCTACAATACACATTTCCTTAGGAGGAATGGCAGCCAAATTGAAATTAAGCCACAAGCATAACTTGCAGAAGATCACAGAATATTCTGCACATTTCCTAAATATCAAAACCTAAAAGTTCAAAAGCATCAAAAGCTAAAATAGGTCTCACATCTAAAATATGGCATAGAACAACTGAATAGGGAGATTGAAAAGACTGATAAATAGAAACAGATGGTGAACTATCAGCAATTACCCTCCGAGTATATAAAACAATTATCTGTAAACAAAATTTACAAGTATATGAAATTTTTTTATATAAAAATTGATTCACCCATTCACCCAATATGAAAATCTAAGAAACAGGTTTTAGTGGCTAAGGATCATCAAATAGAATGAGTTGTCAACTTCCCAGTGTGGTATTATTCTACAAAGATCAGTTGAATTCAACATTTATACCTGTTATGTTCCAGGCCCTAAACACAGTAACAAAACGAATAACAAAACAGATCTAGTACCCCAGGCTCACAACTGAGCAGAAGAGAGACCAAAGCAAATACACATGATGCGCTGTAGACTCTGAGGAGTGCTATAATAAGAGCAACAAAATGCAACGGAAAGACAAGGAAGGGAGAGATTATTTTAGTAAACATCTATAAAATTGCTTATCAGTAAATCTAGCTCTGTTAAGATTAGTGTTACTTCCACAATACCAAAACTTTCTCTAATGTCTGTTACTTCCTATGCCTAAATTTAAATTGACACTTTTAGAGCGGTTTATGGAAAGAGAAATATTTAGATCACAAGAAGCAAATTTGTTCACATCTATTCTTGTTTTAAATGGCAAAGGGAGCGAAAATAACCAGGAGGAAATCTATAGACTTTTTTCTCATTACCTTTCAGTTGACAGTAGGGGTACAATCCTGCTGAAAGGAAAAACAAGTTCCTGTCTGTCCCTAAAACAATTTTGTCTTCAATAAAGTTTGACTAAGAAAAAAAATGTTTTCTACCATTTTTAAATTTTAGTAATAAAATGTTTTAGCTAGTTTGAAATACTTTCCACATATGTAAATAAAATTACATTTGAAAAATGAAGTATTTCAAGCATAAATAATGTTGGCATGAATTCACTCATAGCACTTGAAAAACGAGTTGCAAGTATTACTGTCAATGGAAGTAACAAACTAAAAGAAATAGAAGGTACTCTTTCATAAAATATTTTTTATAAGTCATAATGAATCAGCCTCAGAAATCTGTTCACTCCATCATTTAAATTGTTCCAAACTTTAAGAAATAGAGGTTAGTTCATGAGTTATCTTGTAATGTAAAATTTTCATTGGCGTATATACAGCAAAAGTTTTGCACATTTGTCAAATATTATAACTTCAATGGTTGAGCAATTATTTACTATGCATCAGGCTGATATACAACTAAAGACCAAAATACATTAAAATCATTAACTTTATATATTGGTACTACCAGTAAGTATATTAAATGCATCTGAAACTAACAATTTTTTTTAAACTGGTATAATGTAAGTTAATGTTACTAACAGATAATGAAGGGCTCCATTCAACATCAGAGGTTAATTGGCTATTTCATTAATTTTTGTTGAATAAAGTTGGACAGAAATAATCTGACTTTCTCAACAGCAGACTATTACATTAGTTCCAAGTATTAAAATGTAAGAAAAGTAAAATAAATCAAAGAAGCATTTTTCAGTTTAACTGAAAGAAAACCAGATATCAAAGATTTCAATTCTAATCTAGGTCACCCACTTATTAGTCCTATGACTTTGAGCTAATCCAAAGCCTGCTGATTCTAATGTAAAATAAAAATTATTATATATATTTTACCAAATTCACAGAATTTTTCAGGGACTAGAGGGAGACAACATAGACAAAACTAGAAGGAAGCATCATAGGGAACATTCTCTCACATGCTGTTGATGATACTGTTAACTTTGAGGAACAGTTTGGCAGATTAATGAAAATTTAAATGTTCATCCCTCTGATCCAGAAATTCTATGCAGCCTATGTAAACACTTGCCCAAATTCACAAGGGCCTATGTATAAGGATATTCATTGTGATAATATGCGTATCATGAAAAACTACTAGAGAACTTAATGGGTCACCAGTTGAATATTGATTGGTAAAATATATCACAACCATAGTAGGGAACTATAAAAAAAAAAAGGTAGCTCTTACATGTATTTGTATGTTATCTCTTATGAGATATATTGTTATATAACCCTTTAAATAACTTGAAATAACCCTTGGTCAAGTCTTCCTTGCAATAGCAACTCAGAGAGTTATACAGGAGTATACCAAATCCAAGAAAACTAAGAATCAGGCAAAAGTTACTTTATCAAGAATGTGTTATCAAGTAATTAGTAATCAGCATTGATAAGATGCACTTGCACTGCAGAATGGACCCCCCCCCCCAAACACTCCTGAGGAAACTCATAACAACTAGCATAGGATAAGCCTCAAGAATTGATGGCTTCCATGGCCCTTTGCATCCCAAACATGGAGTGACTGGCACATTCCAAAATTCCTCCTGGGAAATGATGAGGCCTTCACTATTTTTGTATCAAACAAGTTTTATTATCTGTCTTGTACCCTTCCTTAAAGCTAAGTAAACATAGTGCTGAGTAAAGCCTATCATGTCTTGTGAGTTTGTTAATCCAAACCCAAGACCACCTTTGTTTTCTACACACCCAACTCTTTAACAGTGATTATCGTGAGGAATGGGCATGGGGTCATGGAGAAGACATTTTTTTTTTCACTCTTTACATTACATGCTGTGCTGTTAAAAATATTTACACAAGGAATTTGAATATTGTAATTTTAAAACCAATGGTAATAACTAAAATAGGGAAAATACACATAAAATAACAAGAACAATTCCAGATCTAACCCCATTATTAAAAGGAATCAAATGTTTTGTCAGACTTTGCCAGGATTGAATTGAAGATGCCTACAGCTAATCTAGAGGAAAGAGAAGATCCAGAATCTTATTTAGAAGTAGTCTTACTGTATCCGTAGAGCGCTAAATAACTCCAGTTACCCAAATCTTGTTTTTTTCCAACACAGGTACTTATCCCTAGTACCCAAAGATACAATTAGTCTTTGTGCACCCGAAATCAATCTAATCTGTCAATTACTAGTTTGAGTCAAGATTCTTTCCCTGCCTGACACAGTAAACCACAGAATCCCCAACTTCTACCCTTAAGCCAGCACTAGCATCCATGTGAGTTAGTCCAGTCATGGGGGAAAAAAAGTAGTTCCCTTCTGGATGAGACTCAGAAACAGTTCACTAACATACGTACATTAATAAGGAAATTCTGATAAACATGTGAGTCCACACACAACTACACAGATGCCAAAAGGTTAGCTATCAGGCACTACAGAGAATGTTGTTTTGTTTTTATTATGGTAAGAGCACTTAACATGAGATTCTACCCTCTTAAAAGCTTAACAATACAGTATTGTTAACTACAGGTGC